CAGATCTTTCTATGTATCTGCAAAACAAATATTTTTCCGCATTCTTTTAGAATGTGAAATTAATCAATGTAAACTATCATTCCAGATGGATATATACATATATGCAGATTAAGAGTTTTCTCTTTCAATTGAATACGCATAAATATGTAAATCAATTAACACGGCGGATGTATTATTTAATAAAAATGCGAATTAATTTATCCTGTCCATTACTCGCGTAAAAATATCTTATATTTCTCTGCTATTTTCCGCATTCCTGCAGTTAACACCTATTAATCCTGATTAATCGCGCGATTAATCACTTCGCATTCCGCGGACGGAACCAACCCTGGCTCTGGCGTATCGCCGGCGCTTCGTTCCATCGATGTCGCGGCGAATGTGCATCACCGTCGCCTTATATACATGCGCCCGCTGTGGCAAGCACCTTCTCGCGTGCATACGTACGTGCGTGCGTGCAGCACCTACACGAATTCCACGCGACTTACGCAAGACAACAACATTATCTTCGCGAGAAAGTTACAGAAAGATTACAAAAACCTCGTGACGCGTTTGACGAGTGAACAAATGTTTCGATTGCACAATTAATTGCAATTTTAACACAAGAATGTGATATTTCAGATCAAAATCGAAGAAAAAAATTATTACATTGTAGGCGCGTCATGTTTTCATAATGGAATTCGCACCATTAAGTTTTCGTCGATTACAGCGCGATTGCATTATTATTGCATGATTATTGCAGCACCATTGCGGCGTTTATCTGCTCACAAACCGATCCAATGGAATTGACAGCGTGTGTTGGAAAACAACTTTCAGTCGATATCGTGTTAATTTGAAAGAATATTTTTCGCAATCGACAGCGCTGTGTTTTTAAAAATAACCCCATTGTGTTGGCGCCGCTTCTGTTAGCTCGATGCAGCAACAACGATGCAACTGCAGCGCGCTCATGCAACGTCGAGTCTATTCAACCATTGTGTGGGCGTAACGCAAAAATATCTTTTTAATAGAACGATCTATTTGTAATTCTAGTGGATGCATCATGTGAATTTGTTTATACAATCCTCATTTAAACTTCTTCGCATTTGTACATTTCACATATTGCCAGTTTCGAGTTTTTCATTCTCCTCCTTCAACTTCGTAAACTTATTTTATGATCATTTTGAATTTATCATTAATGAATTTTAGTATTACATTTACTTTATATAATAATTTAGTACAGTCAAAACAAGTAATTTTTTCTAATCGTTAACAGACAGAACAGCATTAATTCCTTAATCACGATCTTTCTGATAAATTTGCAAAATTTTACATTAAAATGTGTCACTTTAAAACGCTAAAAAATCCATTTTTAATTTTTAGCATTAAATACTTTAGTAATTAAGATTTTAATTAAATCTCGCTTAAGATAAAGTGCAGCTTAAACTAACTGGAAAACAAAGTTTCCTTATTCAATTACTCTTTTGACGTTGTAATTTCCAACGTTAGGTAACTTCATAATTAAGCGTCTCATCAAATTTTTCCTAACAAAAAATTATATTTTATAGTTGCGGAAAAGCGCGCGGTAGCTCCGAGACACCCTATACATACCCTGGCGAGTTTCTTAAATAATAGAATATTTCCGGGAAACACATCCCCCGTAATTAAACGCGATGTAGTCTTTATTGCTTCCGATTAATTTCCAGTACGACTGCGATAACAGAAATCGAATCTCCGGGCGCAACGAAGTGTAGAAACGGACGACGATGCACTCGGCGATGCGCTCGGCGGAACAAAGCACGGCACGGGGATAAAAATATGATCCTCCGGTGACGATTCAATCGAGTCGATCGGAACGCTTTCGCGCTTGAGTTGACTCGCTCGCTCGCTTTCATAGACGTGTACGTTTGTGCGAAGGGAAACACGTGGTATACAGGGCGCAGACCCTATCGTGATTTTCCGAATCGTCAGAGGGAGATGAAACATGCATAATGTATCGCGAGCATTATGCGAGGGTGTATGCGGCCCGCTATTACAGACGCACACCTACGTATGCAAATGTGCAGGGTGGTGGTCGCCACCCTCTGCTCAGTCCTACTCGGTGACCCAAATATGGAATTTTCGGCGACACGTAAGATATACGCGAAACACAGATCCTCGCGAAGCTTCTGCACGTGTGTCGTGGTACATTTGAGAGCGGCACACTACGATTGTAATATGCGTTTCTAAACGTGTTCCGTTATTATATTTTACGTTACACAAAACAAGGACACCTCTTTATTTTTATACAAAATGCCCCAAGAGCTGTTCTCTTCCTCTTTCAGCTGCGCGTTCTTCGATAAACTTGAAGAAGATTTTCTCTCTAGTGTAAATTTAATAATACGGACTATTACTTGCCGCCAGTTTTTAATTTTCGCCGTTCAATAGTTTACTAATTACATCTAAAACTTAAAGAATTTGATTAAAGCAGAATTTACCTAAAATTAATTAAAATGTAAATTTATTTATTTATATTTGATAATACATATGTATAAGACTTTACTATTTACATTCAATCATTTATATATATATATATATATATCGTGGAAAGTTTGCACTTTGTTTTACGTTTATCACAAACCACAGAAAACTCCGATTTTATTGCTCGTTAAAAAGGGCTGTAAGGGATACTACGCACAGAGCAAACTGAATGGTTTACGCGAGGGAACGGTTTACGACTGCACTTTCGCAAGAGTATGCTCGCGCAGGACGCATAATCGGCTCGCGGTGCATTTCCGAGTGCACGCATTAAGCAAGCGTGAAGTTCGCGGACGAGTTTACACACGAATAGTTGCGCGCCAGTCCGATCCAGTCTGAACTTTCGAACGGCATCATTAGCAGACGAGTAACATGAAAACACTGGAAAATCCGCCGTTAATTTTATTCGGCTTCCACGGCCTTATCGAAGCAGCCAGTGACAAGAGTGGCAAAACAGCAATATTCGATAACGACATATTATATAAAAATTATTCGCTGAAATACAAAATACTCTTCACATTCGGCGCTTTATGTATATAAGAACGCTACGCATTAAACAAAGGACATAGATTATCAGGTCCTTTATGATAAATGTTTTCAGTAAAACACATGCGGAAGTGCAAAATGTAATAAAACAATACTAAGAAAATTTCACTCTATGTATGTTTTATATCGTTGTATGAAGACAAGATATAAATACAATATTCTACATGTAAATGAATTATCAATAACTTTTGATAAAAACGAACACATAGCATAATCTAAAAATGAAAAATTTATATTGAATTAATTTTATTGTAATTTGTTTAAATATTTCAATCGTCTATAAACAAGACATTTTATTCTTCTTCAAAAAATATTCCAGCTTTAAATATATCGTTATTAAATTATTATAATGAAAAGAGCAACGCGGGCTACTCGGCAGCAAAGTTTTATATTTGCGAAAATGAACACTTCTCAAAATCTTTTTTATTCCAAATTCAATACAGATAAACTCCTTTTCGACGATACAACATTCGGTTTGCACGGAATAAACTATGATAAACTATCGAGCATACGGAACTTGCCGCGATCAAAGCTATCTCAAGCCAGTGTTATTACCTCGTGTTTACAGGTCGCTTTTTTGATGAAAAACAGCGACTTTCAAAATTTGCGACGGCTCTTCGATAATCTATAAGAACTGTTTCTCGAATATTCTATAAAACAATATTTGACGAATAATAATTATATGCAATAAGAATTTGCACGAGATGTATCAAGTGCAACAATGATTTAATGCGGTGCTATATGCTGTGTTCGATATTGATGCAATTTATTTCATAACTGATTTTAATATTTGAAATCGTACTTTGCTTACTTCAGAACTAATACGAAGATAAACATGTAAAAATTTTATATTAATATTTACAAAAATCGTGGAAATGTTAGACAAAGTTCAACATAAATAAAGCAAATCTTTTCGAAATTTTTCCTGCAATCGATTTATGCAAGATTCAGTTCCAAACATTTTTTAAGTCACATCATTTATTAAAGATAGAAAAATGCAAATAATAGATTAAAAATCAATTCTTCAGAAAAAATAACTTCAAAATTAAGATTACTTGATTGGTCTAATTTTAATCTCCAATTCGTAAACTTAAAAATCTAGTCTGATACGGATTTATTGAAATGTAATACAAAAATCTTTTCTTGAGAAAAAATTGAATTACAATTTTATACATTTCAGTTTTTAAACATTACTTGCAAGTATAATACAGAGAAATGATAACATTGTAAATTATGAAAATTGGTCAGCGATTATGCTGCTAGTTAAGCACTTTTGTCTGCTAATAATGTAGGAATATATAAATATATTGCATAACATTCGGACAAAATATTTTATACGTATAGATACATATAAAGTACTTTCATATTTCTGCAATCAACATACACTGAAAGAAAGGTGTGTGATATTTGGATTATAACTGCATTTTAATATAATTATAATCGCGATACTCATTTTTATAGAAATTGTTAGTATAATGTCAGTAATGTAATAACCTGACACGTATAATTTTGCCAAAAATAACCAACCATATAGTTGGAACATCTAAAAAAATGTTCTTGGTGCCAAAAAGCAATATAAATCATGATTACTGCTATTTTTCTTTTCATTCAGTGTATCAATTGCATTTATCACAACATCAATAAATTCGGCACACAAGGATTTCTTTCGTATAGTAATTATTTAAGATACAACTAATTAAATATATAATATTTCTTTAAACATTATTTGTTTTAAGGATCAGTTGTAACATGTCTAATACAGAGTTCCATTGCTATGCAAAGTGGCCGTGAAATGTCACCGCGTCTTTCAATATCAGTTGGATAGACTTGACCGACGTATCAATATTTGTGATTAAAAGAAAAACTATATCGTCTTTCTTCCTTTATTTTCTCCTATCGACCACTTTTCGGTATAAAGGCTCCTGTATGTAAGGCCCGTATTCAGTTATCTGCGTCTAGTCAGTTGAAACAGACACAATGTCAGAATTCATCTTAACGAAAGACAATGTGTGGGATTATTTTGAAAAAAAATTCTAAAGAGAAATTTCAAGCAAATTGCAAGAAATGCAACGAAAATTTTACCTACATCACAGATATAGCTTTTTTAACACATTTGCGTACAAAGAAACATCAAAAATATTTCATCGATGAAGCAAACAAAAACTTTGAAAAGGAACCCGGATATATATTACAACCAATCAAAGCTACAATGTAAAGTATGTGATAAAAACGTTTCACATGCAAATTTTCGCGAACACGTACAAAACCATTCTGAAAACGAAAAGGCATATTATGAAGCGAGAAGGACTAAACAGGAACATATGATACAACATGATAAATTTGAGGCAAAGTGCGGAGTGGAGAATTGTGATGATATTATACTTCTTCAAATTATACCACCATTAATATATCATTTAGAAAGCAAGCATAGGAACGAATTGGAATATATCCAAAAGGACGCAACGCGTGTGCCAACTAAGGTCACAAATAGGGAAGAACTATTGCAGAATTACACATTACACACTGAATATTTTCATGCAAAATGCTACTTTTGCAACTATAAAGAATATTATATCGACACTGCAAAGTTTCATGAACATTTAAAAAACGATCATAACAAAGTTCATTCATACGAAAATGCAAAAAAAGGATTTCCGTGGGAACATTTCAAATATTATGACGAAAACAGTTTACAATGTCTTCTCTGCAGAAATTTGCACACTGAAGAGTTTATCCTAGAGTACTTAGAAGAACATTTATATTTGTACCATAGACAAACATATCTCGCAACTCTTCAGGATCGAAACAGCAGTGATATGACCTGGAAATACTGTGACATTAGCGGAGATTTACAAGTGCGATGTCATCTTTGTTCCGCCAAAAAAGAACTTGATATTAATCTTACAAAATTAAACGACCATATTATGAAAGAACATGTGGAAAAGCAACCAAGTACGAAAAGCGGGTATGATGAAATAACTGAAGCGTCAGGAAGCCAACCACAGGAGGAAAAAAGTAGAGAAAAAGGTAAGTGACAGCAAGTTTTATTGTTAATGCAATTATATACGTGCATATAATTATATTTAACTTTGTCGAATCGCGTTTAAGTAGAACAAATGCAAACAATAGTCAGATAACATGTTTCACAAGCAAATATTTATAAATTTTATAGGTATATTCAAAGGTGAATGATGCTAACGGCGATCATGTAGAACGACAAAAGGCAATCTTGACTTTGGTAATTGAAACAATCTATAATATGCACAGAAAATGATGTATCTCTAACGTGTAATAATTCGTTTTATGTTTACAAAATTATAAATACGTTTATAAATTGACGCTTTATAAAAAACATTAAATTTCATTTTTGGAATTTATAAAATATATTTAATATATTTTATATATTTGATATATTTTGCTTATATGAAATCCGTCTTAAATTTATAAACTATGCTTATAATTTCATAAAGTAAACAATTTTATAAAGTAACAATCGACTCTTCGGTTCAAAAACAAAATTTGTTAATAAGTTATTCAGCACAATAATATTTCAGTTTTATTTTTATTTCTTTCAATTCTATGTGTACCTTGGTCATACGTGTAGCCTGAACATTTATTGTACTTTCGGTAGTTTAAATTTATTACGACTCCCTAGTTATTTTTATATTACTACAGGTTTCAAACTATAATATCAATGTAATAATAATAATTGGTAAAATACGAGTATGTCAGTTTAAATTTTACAGTTATACTTAGCCTATCGAATTGATAATGCTTTCAGTATAATAAAAAAATAGATTTGTCATTAACGAAATGCATGCTGTAACACATGTAAGATGACTTAATTGTAGAATTGAAAAATATTCAAGACAAATGCTTATTGTATCATTTGGCTATTTTATTAATAACTTTTTATTCATTTGTTTAATAACACAATCAGAAACTAACATCTACCTATCAGTAAAATTCGATAATTATACAAGATTTCTCAAATGTTTGTAGCTATCAAAAATCTGCAAAAACAAAATATTATAACGACACATCTTTTTAATGATTATAATTCGAAATATAATTAAAGAAATTAAAACGGTTCGAACGACTTTTAAATTAATTATGTTTTACAATTCATAATTATTTATGATTAAAGATAGAAACTGCGATCATGACTCCATAAAACTAAAACTTAAACACATTAACAACATAATGTAAGCAAATGTATAAATAATGTATTAATTCTGTAAAGTATTACAAGTATCTTTAAAATTGCGTCATGTTATTACTTTAATATTACGTTTATGTAAAATTTTTTAGATAACTTGCTTAATACTACCAATGCTTGTATGATGTTCAGTTTGCGGTACGTAATTTTGAATATGGACATAACGCATTTTTCAATTCATAGTAATTTAATATTAATTAATAGTAATTAATAGTATAATTAATAGTATAATAATAATTAGACTGAGTGTGAATGTTAATACATGGCATGTAACAATTATTGTTATACTTAAAATACATATGCATGAAAGAAAAACGCTTTATTTAATTATTCTATACAAAAGTATTTAGTATGCCCATAGAAAATAAAAAAATTTTGACCCACATATAACTTTAAGTAGTAGTAAAAAAAAAGCAAAGTTTTAATTTGCATACAATTTATTTTTCAAAAAATTATTCTTCTTCGTGTATAAATTTTCAATGTTATGCTTCCGTAATGAATTATTATAATTTCCTCGATATATGAAATGTTTCGGAATGTAAAAATTATATAATATATGTTATTTTCTCCTTCATATTCTATTAGTAACATTGTGTTCTAGAGTAAAACGAAAAGTTGATTTTATATAAAACTTGATTTCTGCAAAATATTTAATCACTGTCCTGTATAAGAATTGCGGGATAGAATTTTTCAATTTACTCAAACGCTATCTGATTTAATATATTGTTTCGTAACGTTAATGATCATCTGATAATGTAATAGTGCAGTCTCTGCAGAGTAACAGTAAAACAGAGCCACGCTCTTGCACAGAGATTTTCAAATGGTAAGAAAAGTTTCTGCTTTCTAGTAGAGATCCGCGAGAGATGGCATTGTAAAAAACTTCAATAAATTTTACCATAACGCAAAGAAGATGTTACAGTACTTGTTAAAGTAAAGTAATAACAAAAATTTATAAAATTATTTTCAAAAAATTATATGCTTTATTGTGTAATCTGATTAAATATACTCGCAATGATGATAAATTTCTTTTAAATTTTTCGAGCACCTTGCTAAATAAAATTAATTAATCATTAAAAAAGTGTTTTCATAAAACCGAAATAGTATAAAATAAATAAAAAAATAAAACTTAAATAATAATACTAACATTATATTAATAAAATGTTATTTAAAAAAAATTGACGTTGATAAATTTTGAATATGTGAATTAGTGTTTTATTGGCTAAATATTAAAATTAATCGTATTATTAAAAACTTAATTTATTATATTAAAATTATATTTTTACTATCTTTCTGTATAGGAAATAAAAAATAAAGTTTAGTTAAAAATACAACCAAAAGTACAACTGTGAAACGGCAATAATCATTTAAATTTATCATAAACTTACTTAATAAATATAGCTTTTTAAATTAATACATTAATCATAATTTTATTACATGAGCTGGTAGAGCTAAAAGCTAGAATTTAATACCCGCAATTATTATTTACAACATATAGAAAAACCACAGTCGTTCCGGCCTTGGGCTTAGGCCATCTTCACTGTGAAAAATAAACAAACAATTTTTGGATAAACGATGTAGAAGTAACAAAGCAACGTTTTTGAAAAGTTTTACATTTAACGCTGTTTTACATTTAACACTACTTAATACATATTTAAGATTGATCTCAAACGCAATTCCTTTGGTTATATAATATTTATTGTTGTCTATATTTTCCGATTTTTCAATCTCGAGGTTGGAACGCAAAACCGTGTCTCCTTAATTTGATTTTTTTATAGTCATCTACTCTGATGCCTAATTAAAATTAAAACCATATTGACCGCACCAATGTTTTCAGTGTGTCTTAATTACATTACGTTTATTAAAAAGTGTCCAAAAAGCGTCACCTCATTTTTCGCATCTATTGACACTAGTTGTTTAAAATTCTCAGTGAATATCAAGTTATAAAATGAGGCTGGCTTGATGAGTAAGAATATGAAGACGTTACGGCAAATGAGGCGATTCTTTTGGACACCTCTTATAAACATAATTCAGACACACTAAAAACATTGGTGCAATCAATATGGTTTCAATTTTAATTAGCAACGGCATCAGAATAACATAACTATAAAGAAATCAAATTAAGAAATCCGGCTTTACGTTTCAACCGCGAAATCAAAAAATCAGAAAATATAGACAACGATAGAAATTATGGCCGATATTCATAATCTGTTCTTATATTCGAGATCGCTAAGTCCGTGCTTAAAGCGATCGTGAATATAAAGGCGAACTATGAATGCCGCCTTATATAATCAGAGGAATTGCGTTTGAGATCAATCTTAAATATGTATCAAATAGTGTGCAAAGTTAAATGCAAAATTTTTTCAAAGCATTTCGTTGTAACTTCTAGATCGTTTATCGAAAAATTGTATGTTTATTTTCCATACGAAAGATGGCATAAGCCCAATGCCGAAAAGTTTGTGGTTTTTCTATGTGATGTAAATCAGTGCTCGGAATTATCTCAGCATTTCAGCCGATTCTCGTAGTTGATGCCTCTTTTCCTATCCTTATCGCGCGCACATAAGCCGCTAGGACCAGCTCCGTCAAGTGTCAAGAACGGCACTATCCAATTAATGATTAGGTTCTTCTCCCTTTAATATTAAACTTTTAAAAATGTATTAAAAATAACTTTTTTTTTACTGTTTAAATTTATTATCGAAATATTGCATTAGATTTCCACGTCAGGTAATATTGCTGACGCGTTATTTTTAGAGTGATTTGCCCAGTAGTTCTGGAGAACATTTTTAAAATTTTTATAATAAAACTAGCTGAATCTAATCATTGATTGGACAGTGCCGCTCCTGACGCTCGTCAAGGCTGGTCCTAGCGGCTGCATCGCGCGCGGTAAGCAGAGAAAAGAAGGCGTCAATCACGAGAATCAACTGATTTGCTGAGATAATTCAAAGCACTGATGAAAATAATTGCGAGCATTAAATTCTAACTTTTAACTATACCAGCTTACGTAATAAAATTATAATTAATTTTAAAAATATAAGAAAAAATATAAGATAAAACGTATGTAAGTACATCAGTTTTTCGACTTAAATAAATATATCAGCACTTGTCGGAAACGTTATATAATTATAACATATATAATAATATATATAATAATATATTTTTAACATTATATATAATATATATATAATGTTAAAAATTTTAACATATAAAATTAAATTTGTAAAAATAAAAATCTTTGAATTGTAAATTCACAAACATGTGGAAATTTACACCTATAAATGTCGATCTCAGTATTATCATCAATAATTATTATAAATTTACGCAACAGTATCTTACAGTGTAAATCGTCGCTAAATTCGTGCTGAAATTCATTGTGTATTTGCAAAATGTAATGTTGCCGACATTCGGCTCAATGGACCAAAATGTTTCCGACTAGATGCTGCGCAAGTAGAATGTATGATGGACAAAATAATAATTCAACGCATACAATCAAAGCACAAATTAAAATTAATTTTTGCGTAAGACGTTATAAAACATTACCTTTACTGCACACAAAAAGAAATACATTCGCATTACTCTTTGCAAAATTGTCATTAATATAACACTGTGGAGCATGCGCGATGAATTACGTGTAATTTGGCAGTAAAGTGTAAACCACGCGATAAAGTCACCAAAAGCCAATTGAACGTTTAAGCAGAATTCGTAACAAATTATGGCAATTATACAATGGCACAGAGCCGGATTTAAAGAAGTGGAGGCCCCAGGACGGCTGAATCAGTGGGGACCCTTAATTCGTAAAAGATCAAAATCATTGAAAACTCATTTAAAAATTCGTAAATTTACAAAAGTTGAAAATACATATTTCAATATTATTACAACGACTATTTAAGAACGATGAAATAGCAGGAAGATCTCAAGTCAAAGAATATTGTAATTCTTGATATTTTTTATTGAAATCAATGTTTTAATTAAGCAGCAACGTTTCGGCTGATTATTCAGCCATCATCAGTGCTACCTTTACAAACTGTTTCTTTGAAGACAGTAAGTTTAATTCGTCATTATTAATAAAAACTCTTATGAAGTAATCACGTATGTGATTGCGAGAATTTCTTATTGAGGTGTTGATCGAAAGTCACC